AACCAAGGAGACCTAACTACATATTTTAATATTTTAGTGCTCTCTTAAGGCTTTCATTGGGAACAATCCCATTATTTTGAACACTCTTGTAGTGCAGCGGGTGTCCAAGGCTGTCAGTGAGAGGTTATTCTTTCTCATAGGAGCCCCTGGTGGTCTAGTGGTTAAGGGCGCGGCACTCTCATCCCCGAGGCCCGGGTTCGATTCCCGGTCAGGGCCACTCCCGGGCAGGTGGAGCTCGTTAGCACTTAAAAAGGCAACCCATCTACGTCCTAAGGACCTCACTGCCACCGTCCAAGCTCTCTTGGCCCTGGCAGATGAACCTTAGGATTAAAGGGTGGGCTCAGTTCCGCGCACACTGTGTCTCACCTAAAAAATCCAATGCACAGGCTGGAAGGTGTAAAGACCTTCCCCGGATCTTTGCTCGCGAAGACTGGCCATTATTATTATTATTATTCTTATTCTTTCTCATAATGAGAACTTGAAAGATAACAGATGGATATGAGTTTCACCAAGTCTTTGTACATTTCTGGATTGTGTTCACTTATTTTAGTTAGTATCCTAATAATGTACATTCCATATGCTGAACATGTCAGTGAAGAGTGTTTCCTTTCAGATACACATGCCAGCAGGTGCAGAAAATAAATAAATGTAGTAAATACCTTCTCTTTGTTTGTTGAAGATGGCCTGTATATGCTGCAGTGCATTTTCTTGTGTCTGTTGTTGGGGTTTGACTCGGCCACTGCCTCTCCAGGCAGTCTCTGCCTGCATTCTCCACCAAAAAATGTCGTGGTTTTGCTCTGGGTCAATTTACTTTCACACCCCCCACACAATTACTATTAGTTGAGAGAAGGTTTATGCAGACAAAAGAGACTGGATTTGGGGAAAATAGTATGAACATTTATTACTAGCAAAATAAAAACTACTAAAGAACTACATCTATAACAATTCTGCTTAAGTAAAAGTGCTATGTATTTACAGAAAATACTTCTCCCCCCTTTTTATCAGTCCAAGGAGGAGAAGCAGTCTCTATCTCCATTCTCGGAGCTCCAGGTTTCTTCAATAACTCTGCAGTACTCTTGTCGCAGCTGGAATTCTTTCTCCTTCTCTGTGTTGGCCTCCAGGGCTGGGCTTACCCCCCTCCTGGGCTAAGACTGGAGACTGGGGGTTATCCAGGCCCTGAAGGTTTTCTCTTCCATGGACTTGCAAGGGGACACTTGCTTACCATGGATCTTCACCACAGGGTTACAAGGGATAATGGCTTATGAGTCCACCCCTGTTTTCCTGTGGAGGTCCCTCCCCACGGGAAAACAGTCCTTGATAGACCTCTCTGACATGGGTCTAGTATGGATCCTTCACTCGGATCCCAACATCCCTACCCGAGCCGTTATTTGCTCTAGCATAGGTCTCGTCTCTCTCAGAGTCACAAATCTTCAACACTAGCAGCATGGATCTCTCACTGAGATCCCAGGCTTACCCAAGCCGTCTGCTCCAGCGTAAGCCTTGTCTCTTCAGGGTCATAAATCTTCAGCAGGACTCTGCCTCATTTCAGTCCCTCTCATGAAGTCTCAGTTCTCTGGTACATCCACAAACTCCTCTGTGAGCCGCATGAGGGTCTCCTCACCCCAACACTCTTCTACAGGGATTACTTTTCAGTCTTTTTCCTACTGAAGGGAGAGAGTGAAAGGGGGGGAGAAACAGCTCTCCCTCTTTCGAACTTTTCTTCTCTCTCCTGCAGCTGCCAGCTTTGACCTTGGAGGTCCCTTATTTCTTCACCGGAATTTTTCTGCAGCCGTTTCTCGTCCAAGCAGTCAGTCCTTCTCTTAAGTTTTTTTTTCCTTCACTCTCTTACAAGAGAGAAGGGGGACTTCAGTGCTACACCTACCCCTGGCCCAAGCCGGGAGAGGAGGAGGCCTTGGCCCACCTCAGGGCCCACTACCACCTCTCCTACATGGCTACTGCTCCTAATTTCAACTGCGTAACTAACCTTCTCTTCCGTTTTCTTAAATATGTAATTAGCAAAGGCGTTATTGAGAGTTGTAATTGGCTTCTTGTCCGGAAATCTACCTGGACAAAACCATCCTCAGCCCCAGGGGCTGGCTGGCTGGGCAAAACCATGACACTGTATATGATTAATAAGCTCAACTCACACTGTACCACCATATGCAATTATGATTTATTATACTTTAAAAAATGAGATAGAGTAGTTTACCTGCCATGACAGCACTGCCTTGTTATTTTAACTATCTTCTGGATATTTCTTTTTCAAATACTGAAACCTACAGAACTAAATAATATGAATTGTTTAAGTTTCCTACCACCTTTTAGCCTTGTGAAGTAGGAGAACATTGAGATGTGTGATATATCTGTCTCTACTGACTAATGAATAATTTTTCAAGATAATGGGAAACATTCAGCAGTATATTGTTTTCTAGAGAAGGTAAACATCAATTAACTGTAATTCACAATTTATTTAAAACAATTATTCTTTATCATTAAAGTTAATAATATGCACATTAACCTCTGATGTAGTCAGAATCAATACTGCAGATTCAGAGATGTGATCCCTGGACATCTTTGTCTAAATATTGATTTCATTGTCATTTGTATAAAGTATGAAACAAGTTATGTGCCTCCTAATATCATTAAAGTAGCCTCATTAATTTAGCTACTCAATTTATGGCTTCTTATAATGCACAAAAAACTAATACGGAGTTATGGAAGACATTATGAAACACAGATGCTTAGTGTCCTAGATTTGATTGTGGAAGGCCAATGCCAACATTCAGTACCTTTCAAACACTTTAGTGCCCGAATAAAGTCTATAGATGAGCAAACCATACAGTAGTACGCAACTCCGTTTTTAATTTTCAGCAAAGTTCTGTTGGGTCCAGGGAACAGCAATTTGTTCTTCAACTTTCTACTTACATATTTGTAGCCTTACAGGAGAATTATGTGTACACACTTGTATCCTGTGCCAAAGGCAGAAGTTACTCCTTTTACTTCCTGAAGAAAATAAAAATAGGAAAGAAGGACAGTGTCTTTCTGTTTTGGATAGCATTTTTGCTATGTCATTACTATTATAATTTGAAATATGAGTTACATAATTTAGTCCATGGTGTGATTTCTTCCCTTTGTTCCTCTTGCAACTGTCTTCCCACCATGTCCCTGATGTTTTCATTACTGCCCTTTCCATCATAGCAGTTCCTCAGGTTTACCTCACAACACCTTGTTGCCCTTCCAGGAAATTTCAGGAGTGCCCTGAAACTCTGGAAATACCAATCCTGCTGACTTTTACTTCCTCCCTCTTCAGAGAGCTCCTTTTTACACAACCAAGCTGTTGTTAAGCATCAGATTCAGTTGTCTACTTTTCTTCTTATCCTTTTGTCCTAGTTTCAACCAAGGATGGGGGGTGGTGGGGAGCTAGAGGCTGGAACCATGTGGGCCTGTCTAGGTTGTTGTTCTGTACCACCCACATCATTACCAAGGTGGGGGGGTAGAAGTAAGGGGTTCTTACTTCACAGAAGAAAGGGCGTGGCTTTGGGTGGGGGTAAAAGAGGGCACATGGAGGCTCCATGGCCATTTTGTCCTTTCTTAGGGGAGCAGATAGCACACAGAGTAGTGGGATGGTGCTAGTCCCAGCTGCAGGCTTTGTCTGCACTGTGGTTGTTAGATTGTCTTGGGCTTGGGGGAAAAAAACACAGGCACAGACGGTTTGTCTGCCATTGTTTTTCATTATCTTGGGCTTGGGAAAAAAAAAATGGTGGAGGGAGCATCAGACCTAGTGAGCATTTTGCGTATAATCACTCTTTTATACACTGTTGTTAGTAGTATTGTTACTGTTCATTTTCTTATCTCATTGCTGTTTCCAGTAAATCATTATCTAAACCCATAATCTCTGCCTTTTGTCTCTCTCACCTGAGGTGGTGGGGGGAGGGGAACATCTGCATGGGGCCAAATTTCCGTCTGGGCTTAAACCATGACACCTTTCTAAATGCAAACCTTGAAAAAACTTAGTCTAAGTTTCCTGTTATACCACCTAAACTTGTAGTCAGGATGATTTGTCTTGCTTTCTGCTCGGTATCTAAGCACTGCTCACCTGCAGTCTTTTGCTATAAACTGCTTATTTCACATTTAATCGCACACACACACACACACACACTTTCTTTCTCCAGTTTTTTCTTTAGATAAAAAAAAAACAACCTGCATAGCCATTTCCATTATCCTGTTTCCATTATCACTTATTATATTTTCAAAACAGCAGCTTCATACTTTGTCTTCTGGTGGCGTTCACGCTGAGGGACTTTTTTGTAAATATATGCAAAGCTACTTCATTGTTCTTTAATGTATACATTAGTCTCAATCATGTTTGACCTTCTCCTGTGCTGAGACTACAGCTCATCATTCCAACTGATATAATCTCGTTGTTTATTTGTACTTGCCCACTTTCTCTGGTGTTAGGCTTTTATATGAGACTGTCCTTAAGGCTCCTTTTTTTGGGGACAGGATTTGTATAATGTGAAACATGTAGAATTTAGTAATTTCTGGATAGCTCTGATTGATTCTGTGTTATTACAAATAATATGAAATAATAAATTTCCTTCATATCAAAATGCTCTGTGTTATCATTACAGTCGGTGGAGGATGGGCACCATTTAAGTAAAGTTGTCTTAGCTGTCTCAGAAGGGTGCCTGGCATCTTGTAGGAACATACCGTAAAAATAAAACATACAGCAAAATCTGTAGAGTGATTTTTTAAACTTTTTTTTTTTAAGACAAAAAATTGTTCTTTTAGCAAAGAACATTAATAGATTAAGGAGATGAGGACCTCTTCTGAATATCTTGAATATAATCCAGACCGTAGGACTTCCTTGAATTAATTCTTGAGAGAATTACAGTAAAACTGAGGAGAAGGAAAAAAAAAGACAAACTAGTTTTTATTTAAACTTTGTTCATCACGTGTTTTCTTTGTTCATAACTTTTATTCCAAATTTTCTCTTATAGGTAAAAGTGACCCATTTTGTGTAGTTGAATTGAACAATGACAGACTGCTGACACATACCATCTACAAGAACCTCAATCCAGAATGGAACAAAATCTTCACATTGTAGGTGTTTGGATTTGTGGGGGAGGGGTGGGCAGTGGGTGTTTAGATTGGGAAAGAGGGCAGCAGGTTTTGGGTGGATTTTTTTGGAGGGGAGGGTGTTGAAGAGAATACCTTCTGGTGGTTCTGAAGAAGAATAGTGATGACATACTGATATTTCTAAGCTAAACGTCTGAATACTTCCTTGAAGATTAAAAACATGAAAAAAAAAATAGAGAAGTGGTATAATTTTAAAGGTTAAAAAGTCAGGTCTGTTTCTTGGAAACCAGCTGTATGTAATGCTAAGCATTCCAGACTCCTGCTAGGTTCAGTGAGAGTTTTAAGGACCAAATCCTGTGTGATGGGTTCACCCCTGAAGTTTTGAGTGGGGGGAAAAAAAGATATTGTGGTTATAACCTTTATTAAAATGGGGTTGTTAACTTTAAAAAACATTAGCCAAATATATAAAGTTAGAAATTCTAAATTTATTCATGTGTTTCTGAATTAAGACCAAATACTTTCCACTTCTTTCCATTTAACAACTGCCCTTCTCACAATACCCCCTAGTAGTATAGTGCTAGTGCAGTGCAGCTGTTGGGTAAAATGCAGTCTAAAATATTTAGTTTGTCATAAAGTGATGCTATTGGGTTTTTATCCTTCTGTTATTTTGAAGACAGTAAAAAGCTTTGACAAAGTAGAAAAAAAGTCTTCCACAAACAAAATGTCATTGTTATTTGTCTTGCTCAGTTGCCTTCTTTTTCTTCCCTTGTTCTCTCTATCTGACTGCAATGTGATACCAATGAGCAGAAAAAAACCTGATCATTGCAGGTCTCACGGCTGCTGAAATAAGCTAACAGTCCTCTGCAAAACCAGTAGGAACTTTAGCTTTGTGTACACTTACTTCACTTTATCATAAATGAAAATGCTATATTTTGCCCTTGATCTTAAAATTCAGTGTGAATTTAATTTTCTCCCTCCTCTAAATTTGTCAGTCATATATTAGGCATCCATAGGTTTTCTTGACCTGTAGTGAGTTCTCAGGAATGAACTCGGAACAAAAGAAAACATCTCGCAACAGTTGTACTCTTCAACAGCTTATTATTGTTGTTCTCATTTCTGTATCTGCAAAACCATGTTAAATTCTTCATTAATTTATTTTTAATTATATACCAATAGAGCCAATAACTAATCATCCTCTAATACTCGGCAGTGTTCTCTGCTCAAGGAATTGCCTGGATTTGTAGAGGACAAAAGACTAATCAGGAATCAATTAGAAAACTTCCAAAGGCCTTTAAGGCCTTTTTTCTGTGTATAGTAGCAGTGAATATTATATTTATCCTCAGATTTGTTAATTAATTTTTGGGCTAGCAATCCCTCATCTGGAGGCGTATATTTTGCTGCAGTTAAACTGATTTGCTTGAAATTGTGTTTGCTGGTTAAGCCATTTGATCAAAAATAAGTTCTCTCAAATAATTCTTTTTCTCCAAATAAGGCATATGAATTTTTCACTTGAGTTTACAATGTACAGTGATGTTTCTAATGCATGGCAGTGGAATGTTTAATAGCTTGCAGGCTTTTTTGCCTCAGTAGTAGCTGAGAAATGGATTGTTTCCTATTGTTTGTTCTTTATTTGTTATAATGACTGTTGTATGTTTGTAATTAAGTGAGGATTTCAGAAATAAAGAGCTTGTTTTCAGTGCAAGGATATGCTCTTGTAGCTTGTAATTATTTCCATTTACAAACCTACATATTTCACAGTATTTGCAGTAAGAATTGCAGCAATGGCAGCAGTATTTAAGGGATAGCCTTTAAAAGCTCTTAGTCCTGCTACTGGTGGCTGTAAATCCCCCAGTGCTGCTCCTTGCAGGTCATGCAGCACAAACCCTAGGTAGGAGATTTAAAGCAAACCTCAGCTGGGAAAGCCTTGCAGAGAGAGAGAAAGAGAGAGAGCAATCATTGCAGCTCTCAGAACACATTTTGGTTATACACAGGGAGGCCTCATTTACTTAAGTTCTGTTCTTCTCCGTGGCTTGGAAAAATAGTTGGGTATCTGTTTTTGCTAACCTTTCACACTTTTGCTCTTGCTACTCGCGGGTGTAAGTGACTTCCTCTCTCCACTGTGTGTTCTACTTCCTTTGTAGTAATATAAAAGACATCCACTCAGTGCTTGAAGTGACAGTTTACGATGAAGACCGCGATCGAAGTGCTGACTTTCTAGGCAAAGTTGCTATACCGTTGCTGTCTGTAAGTTTCATTCACCTGACATACCACTGATTTTTTTCTGCAGAAGGGAGGGGGAAGGAAAAAAAAATAAATTTGCAGCTCTGTATCTGTCATTTCTCAACCAAGGTCTGTAATAAGAACACTAAAATTTTAACATACTCTATTCACGGCCATGTTGAATCCCATGATAGTTAATTTTTCCTGACAGACTTGGTCCTGGTAATGAACAGGTACTTGTCAGACTTGCCACAGTTGTTTTGGGTTCTGTGTCAGTTTCAGCAGCTGGGGGTCAGGGGTCACTGGGGGGGTGTATTCAGCGGAGACCGCGAGACAGACGGCTGTCATGTCCTTTTCCTGCAGATTCAAAATGGTGAACAGAAAGCCTACGTCTTGAAAAACAAGCAGCTGACAGGGCCAACAAAGGGGGTCATCTATCTTGAAATAGATGTGATTTTTAATGCTGTAAGTCTTAACTTTGGCTTTTTTGTACTGCTAAAGAGTTCAGTTTCATGAGAGCTTTTGTTCCTGATTTGTAGAGAATTTCTGTCATTCCTCATTTTCTCTAAACCTTGATGTATACTACAGAATACTCTTCTGCCAATGCCTGGCACACCCACTCTTTTTGTTGCTGCCGTTGCTATTGCTGCTAATGTAGGGAGCAACAACTCTTGTCTCTGTGTACACTTATGTGTTGTGGGTTTGGCAGCCATGACTTTGAGACTTTGTAATTTTTGCAAATTAAAGGATGTGTTATTAGTAAAGATCAAGTAAGTTTGAAATACTGACTCACGTTTTAATGCATAGGTGAAAGCCAGCATAAGAACCTTAATGCCTAAAGAACAGAAGTATATTGAAGAGGAAGACAGACTATCTAAACAGGTAAAGAGTAAGGAAACACTAATCTCTTCCAAAATCTGTAATATCAAGTCCAAATATCTGGCATCTACTAAGAGAAATTAATAACATTTTCATTATATGTTTACAAAAGAATATGATAGGTTGGAGAAGGCAGAAACAAAATACACAGGTTTATTGTATCTCCTCTATAAATAGCAGCTTAATTTCCATGAAATACATGAATAAGAACACAGTTGAAACCAGCAGGTTCCACACATATCAGATTATCGCCCAGGTGCATGTAAACTAAGTCTTGCATAAATTTTTTGCTGTTAACTTTGACCTGAAAGTTCTCCATTTGTTGCAGTGTAAAGAATCTTTCAGCATTATTTTAGCCAAATTTAAATAAGTTAGTTGAATAAGGTTTGGATCAAAGGTGAAAGCAAACTAAAACACTTTACACTACAGAGAATCCTGGGGGTAGAAGTGTCTGGACTCTTTGTTTTTACTCTGGATATTTTTGCTACATACAGTTTTAATGTTTTGGTAAAGAATATTTAAACACACATGTTTTTCTCCTCTTGAACTACTTTTGATTCAGTTTTCCTGTTCCACAAGTGATGTATTTTATATGGAGAGAGCTGGGCTTTCGATTGGACTGTGGGGACAATATTTTTGTTGTTTTCAGAGAAAAGGCAAAGGTCTCAGAACTGATTTTTACTTTGCTGAAAACTTATGTACTTGAGCTTAAATTACCTGCTAGATGACTTTTACATCAGTTCTTTTATATAGTTCATAAAAAAACATTTCAAGAGGCAAAATATTTCCTTCTTTACTGTTGGGAGTAAGCAGTTGCTAAACCTGCCTTTTGCACTACTTTTCCAGCAAAGAAACAATAAGACCTTTTACTCAAGATTAATACTTCTTCCCACTTTCATAACAGAAAATGGTATTGTGACTTTTGCAACTAGCAGGAGGAGTGATCATTTTCTATGCAAATCAGTGCACAAATAATTCACTGGTTTGTTCTTTTTTTATTATTAATTTTTTTTTTTTTATTTTTTGGTGAAGTTGTTTTGGAGTATTTAAATACGTTTTCCTGACTCAAAACCTAGAGCTGTTATGTCTTGTGCCTCTGTAGTTTAGAAGAATGCAGTTAAAGTTAGTTTGGTAAATACTTAAAACCAGGTTTTCAAAATACGTGAGACCAGACGAATTTGTTACAAATGTTAAAGGGTACAGATGATCTTAATTAGATTAGAGCAAAAATTTTGCATGGGTTTGGCATAGTGTGCTGCAGCATCGTTGTATTAAGAAAGACCAACATTTGTTAAGAAAGGCTCAATAAAATTGAAATTTAATAAAGAAAATAATTTGTGAAAATCTGCAAGTGGCTTTTTAATTTTGGACAATTTGTGTACCATCTAGAATTAAATTCAGCAAATATCAGTTCACACAACTAACAAATTCTCTATCTTCCAAGCCAGAGAATTTAAACTAATTTGCTCAATTTGTGAACTAGAGAGCTTATTTTCTCAGTCTTCACCTTAGTTAAGAAATAATGAATGAAATTATTGTAAACATGAGCCTCTTCTGAAACTTTTTGGGGTTTTGATATATTTTCATTCTTCCATCTTTTTAACAGCTACTGTTGAGGAACTTTATCCGGATGAAGCATTGTGTCATGGCACTTGTAACTGCTGTCTGCTACATTAGCAGTTGCTTTGACTGGGATTCTCCCCCAAGAAGTCTAGCTGCTTTTTTGGTATGATCTTCTTTATACTATTTTTAATCACCCCAGTGTGTTTCTGTTCTAGACTGAGGGACAATACAGTGTAGATAGAGAGGTTTCTTTTTTTTTTATTTATTTAAAACTTTGCATTATGATGATACTCTAAATAATGTTTATTTAGCTTTTTAGGAGAGTAACTAAGTTTAAAATGTCACACAAAAAAGAGTGGGTTTTTTGAAAGCCATAATAATATATATACATATACTAATAGTGTAAATATAGATATAATTGCTTATATAATTTATGAGTGATCCAAATCAAAATGGAGTGAGTGAATTATTGCTATTATATCTTAAGCTTCTCACAAATTACTTCTATTAAATCTTCTTTGGTGCCTTCGTATATTGCATATTTATTGCATATACTTGTTTTGAATATTAGTTATTTATTTACATACAATTAAGATCAAATTAGTGTTATTTTGTCCTCCATATATGTTACACCTGTAGCTTTTTCAGAAGTACAAAATTACAAAGAGAAGTGCTCTGGACTCAAATATTTGCTTCTCTACTGAGAGGTAGTGTTCCTGAATAAAAAACAAAACAAAACGAAAAAAAGCCCACCAAATTAAAACACAACCAACTTTAAAAGCATTAATACAACCTTTTAGTACCTTTTAGACAGCAAGCTCTGGTCATAGTTCAGTTTTTAGTGAATTCATTTTTAGTGATTTAAACAAAACTACTATTTCTCAATGAATGTTATCTTCATTAGTGTTAACCTTTATTTTCCTGTTAAATTTTGAAAATTTCAAGCTTAAATGTTGATTGAATTGTGTTTCACTGACAAATATCTTTCTATTTTCAAAATCATAACAGCTACAAACAAGATCACAGTCCCCATTTGTTTTTTCATGAGTGAGTCCCACTGGGAGTAAAAATGTACACATAGAAACACTTTCTGGAACATCTGAATTTATTAAGTTGGCTTGAAATACTGAGATTTTGAGTTTCTTCCCCATGAACATGAACAGGGAATGGTTTTCATCTAACTTTGAGTGATTATAGAGCGAGTCTGGTGACAGTACTCTTTACTTATGCACCTGGAGGTCAGGTGCCTCAATTTTGGAGAAATCAAACAAGGCATTGGAGCTGACTGTGTAGTAAAATGGAGTAGCTGTGTGTGTCATTAAGTCATGATGTTTTGCAGGGAGTTTCTTCTAGCAGGGCTCCAGTTGTACTGTGTTACTTATTAAACCACCTTTTGCCTGTCAAGAATGATAGAATGCTGTCAGTCCTTGGTTGCAGTGTTCATCAGAAGTACATGAGATATGTGTGCTGCTCTAAGAGTCAGGGGGTTTACACTTTTACTGATGTCTGTAGCAATGACACTTATGTGCAAAGATCTAAATATACTTGCTACTGTTTACTGTAGAACGGCGATCTGTCATTTCAGTTAGAAGTTATTAACAATTCATAGGAAAGTGCAGGTTTCTGCATAAAACTTTAATGTTCATATTGCTATTACTCCTCCAGTTAGTAAGTACTGTTCTCTTTAACTCTCATTTTAATACGGATATGGAACACTCACGGGATGCCAGTGGAAGAAGGGGAAATGCAAAAACATCCTATTCTTTGAGGCAAATGAAATTATTTTTTGCCCATGGCACACTGGTGTAGCCATGGAAGAATTTGTGTTGCTGTTAAAATGTAATTGTTGCTGGTCATAGAAAAAAATGAGTGTCGTAATAAGTACTTGGAAATACATAAAGCATGGAATTTGAGCAGGTAGGTCTATAATCAGTATACATCACTATTGTAGTTACAGTGTATTGCAGTAGAAACATATTGCTGATTTTATTTTTATATATATTCATATTTTACATATCTCTAAGAGAGAGAGAGAGAGATGTAAAAATTTTGATTTTCTTAGTTTCCTTGCAGTCTTTGTTTTGCTAAGTAGTGGTTGTGGTAGTTGTGGACATGTTTATATTTGTGCTCTGACTGTACAGATGTATTCCTGCTCTGCATCCAAAATGGACCCTGTGCTCTTTAACCTGATGTTATTCTCTCCAAGGATCTGTCTGGCAAAAAAAGTTTTTGCTAGCCAAGTCTAATATATGTGAATTTCTATCATGATTATAAGCTTTGTGTTTAGGTTGTTTCTGGACTTTTATAAGCTCTTGAAATCTTGAGAGTGGTCCGTTTGCATGTGTAATGCTGAATTATACTTGCACCAAGGTTACCTTTGAATTGAATAGACTGTATAAAATAAATGTACCTGTATGTATACTTTTTGTCTCTTCACTATTATACAAATTATATCTCCTCTTGACATTGTCTCACAGAGGTTAGAGAATGTCACAGTAAAATGTCATTGCTAGGAAGGAGATGAGAAATAGGCTGTTCTGGAGGTTTCTAGCTCTTTAGGCAGACTAATAAATAATGTACGAGAAGTAGACTTTTAAACTAACCATTTCTTCCATCCCGTTGGATTTGAAGACATACCTTGATGGTTAACATTCTGATGCAGATTTACAGCCATTCCATGTAAGTTACGTATGTGGAGGTTGATTTTTCATATCTCACAATGCCCCAAGTCCTTGGCATTACAGTTACTGGCACTTCTGTTTAGCACCTTACCCAATGGCTTTACTTTCTCATGGGGGTACGCAGGACCATAGGTGAAGAAATTCTGACAGACTAGATCAGTTTGCAGAAACTTAATAACTAAGATCAATCTGAAAAAAAAAACCCTACTCTTGGAAACCTACAGAAAGGCTTGATTAGTATGGTGAGTCTGTAATAAGCTGCTGTTACCTGCTTTATACACCTCCTGTATGCTTTAATGCAGTTCTTTTTAAAGTCAGTCTCCTTGGAGAGTCACAGTGTTAGTCATCAAGACTAGTACTGTTCATTGAAGGGGCTTGCTGATTATTTGTATTCCAGAATTTAGCTGTCTGAAACCTTTACGTTATTTGGGACATCTTAGATAAGGAAATGCTGTATTTAAGGTTTAGGATGATTCTTTCCAAAATCTGTCTAAAGGCACCAGCTCAATGACTTGTGTTGCCTATGCTGTGCCTAGTGGTAGAGAAACTTAGAAGTCAAGTTTTCAAAATTCTAGATTATACATTTCCTCAACTAAACAATATTTTACCTGTTCCTGTTAACATAGGCTCATCACCTTCACTGGGGATTTTTTCTGAATGACTTAAGGTTTCCTCTCCAGTTCTTTTTACTGTGATTCAGTAATTCACAGCAGAAGAGAAATTGCTGCTAATACATAATATTTTAATGTCTTCGTGTAACTGTGACATATTACTAGCTGTTACTTTTCAGATATTCAAAGATATTCATAAATAACTCATAAACCATAGGTTGATCTGGCTAGCATATGACTTTGGATTAGAACAATAAAAAAATTTTATATTCTTTCCTGCTTTTCCATATTTATTTCCTATTAAATAAAGGAGGTATGTAGCAACAGTTTTAAATTGATGTTTCAATTCCAGAACAGTTTTATTGTATCACACAGAGTCCTGTTAGATCTAGATCAAGCATGTGTTACATACTTGTGTTTATACTTCTTAAGCACCTAAATGCAATGGAAAAGAATAGAATATATACAGGGAACCTTTTCCATAATTTCACATGATTTTATGTATAGACATTTAGAGTATTTAGCAGTTAATTTTCTTATTTTAATTCAGTAATTAATATTACATATTTGAGGCAGAAGAACTTTATTAGAGTATGCAAAAGTGGGTGTTTTTTCTTCAGATTAATCCACTGTGGGCACTGAAATATCTACTAACTGGGCCTAATTTCCATCAGCTTCTTGACCAGACATTTCTGTTCTTGTAGATTACAAAAATAATTGGACAACCGAGCTATCAGTAAAAGGATACACTTCAGTGTCAGTCAAGGAATTATTTTATGGGACAAACTTCAATCTTTAGTAGTGATTGTAGGTAATTTGTGCTACCATCTGTCCGTTTGGAATTCTAGCCTTTTCAGTTGTTATACAGTAAGTACTGCTGTATTTAACGTTAGTATTTGATACACATTTAATTTCTGTACTGCTGCATGGTCCTCAGGGAGCTTTACTCTAGTGCTACGTGAAAGAGACAAAGTATTGATCAGTTAACATTTCAGCTACGTTTATGTATGTTGCAAAATTAATGAAAATGCCAAACAAAAATGTCAAAGTGCACAAAAATGTAGAATTTAAATTTGGTAGTTTAATGAAAAGTTTAAGACGTACATTATCAAAAATGTGCCCTCACCTTTAAAGTACAATTCACAACTGAGCAACTAAATGGATCCACGTATTTTACTTAGAGGAACACTAAACATGAAATATGAGGGAATATAATCTTCAGAGTGTTTGGTATCCCAAAATGGCCTCAATAAAGTACTTTAATTGCCTGTTTGAACATATAGCTGTTGCTCATAAAATAAACATTTTTCTTTTCTCACTTGGAAGGAGAGTACCCTCACCCAGTCACACACATATGTCCTCAAATTAAAGCTTTCTATGAAGACGTTCTCTTATTCCTGTTCTATTACTCTGATTCTTTCTCTACATGTATGTACATGCACACAGAAAAGTCTTTCTTAGCCTTTCAAATGTTGGTAAAATTACTTTCCCTACATCCAAGTAATTTGTCAGGTATAACTCACCAAGGCTTTGTCTTCTTTCAGACACTACAGAATTCATGTGTGAAAATGACATAATAGTGTCCCAAGTCTTTGTTCATTCTCTTGCATGTACACCGTTTAGTTGTGGAGGTGTCATACTAATTCATTGAAAAGGAAACAGGATTGAAAAGAGCTGGTCCCTAGCAGGAAATGAGACTGTAAAATAGTTTTGTCAACTTACTTAGCTTTTCCTTATTAAAAAGGGAAATGATCACTATTGCATATTTAGGAAGCAACATTCATTCAAAGCTGAAGGACGAAGATTATGTTTTGGGAGAGACTTGATATGACACATCAGGAGTTGGAATTACTTGTGCTAGTTATTACATA